AGAAACATATTTTTTATAATCCCAAACCTTAGTTTATAGTTATATACTATATCCCCTATTTATTTTGAGATCACAGTAATTTTTCTAACAGAAATCTATAATTTAGAACTTAAATTTAAATGAACTTAAGTTTAGCCTAATTTAGAGTCATTCTACCATGGAATAAGGTGAGGGCAGAGTCTTAACTCAGGTGAGGTAGAATTTTGACAAATCTTAGGTAAAGTGTTTTATTTCTGAACCTGATCTTTGCCTCTTTCTTAAATATTATTTTACAAAGTTCTCATATATTATTTTCTAAGTCTACTAGAAAAGTCTACTAGTTCCCTTAAACAATAAAACCTAATGTATTCAAGAAATTATCTTGATAGATAAGAGCAGATTAGTGTTTTAAGAAACACATAGAGAATTTTAATAAATTTAATAAATAAATTCTTGTTTATATCAGTATATTATTTTTGACCTTAGGAAAAAAGCTTTAAATAACTTTAACTGATAATGCTAATTATACTCAACTTAATTAGACACAAACCGTTTTGTGATTTTTGAGATTTATCCTTATTTTTGAGATTTTTTCCTCCAAAAACCTTGTGTAACTTACTTAGACACACTACAACTTGTTTAATTTGTCATACAAAAGACTTCCTCATCCAGAAACACTTCTTTTTCTTTCTAATTTCCATATTAAAATATATTTCCATACCTAGAACTTTTTTATATCTATTTCCTAGTTGCTGACCCTTTTTTAAAATTTATATTCTGAAAAATCCTTATGGGATTTCTGAATTTAGACAAATTACTCAATTTTAGTAAGATGAAATACTTTATGCTTTTTATAGTGCTTTAATTGAAACACAACTAAAAACTTTTATACTTTTTTGCACATAGAATTACACTTGATATTATATTAACTCTTAGTAACCTTGATTTTAGTGAAGACAAAAACAGAAACAAAGCAATCTTTTTTTTTTTTTTTTGAGGGTGGGCACTGAGGATTGAACTCAGGGGCACTCAACTACTGAGCCACATCCCCAGCCCTATTTTGTATTTATTTAGAGACAGGGTCCCAATGTGGTGCCCAGTGATAAAAAATGGGCCTACAGTAGGTCTCACTGAATTGCTTAGTTCCTCACCTTTTCTGAGGCTAGTTTTGAACTCATGATCTTCCTTTCTCATCTTCCTGAGCCACTGGGATTACAGGTGTGCACTATCATGCCCAGCACAAAGAAATCTTAAACTCCTTTTTTTTTATTTATAAGAATTCCCTCAATACAAACCCTCTTATAGAGAAGCATGGCTATCAGAGGGAAATATAAATTTTAATACCAGTATTGTGGCAACCTTTGTGGTCATGGAATTCTAGCCCAGCACCTTGCTTGTTGGCTGGCTGAAATTGGCCAATGACCTTCACAAGAAATAGGAGAACAATAGAAAAGGAAAAAAGAATTTCATTTTCAGTTTTGATCAAACTGAAGAGATGCAGCTAGATTGCTTCTCTGTGGTTCCCACAGAATTGGTTAAAGTTTACAGAAACAAAATCGGAGTCTATACCTATGTAGATCTAGCTAGGCTGTGTTAGAGAAAGTATCAGTGGTGCCCCTCCACAGCAAGGGGTCATTTTATTCCCAGCATGAGGAAGTTCCGGAGCTGTCTGATTCACCATTGCTGGGTAGAATCCAAGTAAATAAAATGAGTATCTTGAAAAGATAGCTGCTTTCCAAGATTTTCAAAATAGCCAAGATATGTAATCAATCTAACTGTCCATCAACAGGGGAGTGGATAAAGAAAATGTAGTATGTAAACACAATGAATTCTAATTTCCATACTAAAATATATTTCCATACCTAGAACTTTTTTATATCTATTTCCTAGTTGCTGACCCTTTTTAAAATTTATATTCTGAAAAGTCCTTATGGAATTTCTGAATTAGAAAAGGAAATCATCTACAACCACATGGATAAACCTGGAGAACTTTATAGGAATCGAAGTAACCTAGGCTAACTGAGATAAATACTACATGACCGCTCATTTTTGGAAAATTTTAGGAGGTGATATAAAAGAAATAGAATGAGGAAGAGTGGTCACCACAGGCTGGACATTGGGAAGGTAATACTGGGGAAATGTTGGCCAAAGGGTAAGAATTCCTTTTAAATACGAGGAATAATTCAAGAGACCTATGGCCTAGCAATTCAACTAGTGATGATGTATTGTATTCTTAAAAAATGTTGAGCTGATGTGAAATATTCTCACCCTAAAACAGATATTAATGAGGTCATGCACATGCTGGTTTTTAGTTTTTACCATTGCATAATGCAAAATAATTCTAGATTTCTTATTGTACCCGTATATATCTACAATTTTATCTGTCAATTTGAAAAAATATTCAATAAATAGACATGTAAACATGAAAAATAAAAGAGCTATGGAAAATTAAAAAGGAAGGACTCCTTCCCCACTCAATTTTGTGAGTCTGAAATTATTTCTACAGTTTCCAAAGACTGTTAAAAGCAGACACATTGAGGGAGTTGGCTGGTTCATGGGACTAGTTCCTTGTGAAAATTAATCATTTCCTTTGAGCACATAATATGACTTTTAAACCAAAACAAAGAAAAAAGAGATTTTTCTTGGATTACACAAATCTATCCCTCCCACTATATAAACACAAAACTGACTGAAAAATTTCCATCCTGCCATCTCCTTTGTCCCTCAAGGGAGGTGAACTGTTTGCAGAGTGGAAAGACAACAGGACAATTTGCTTAATGAGGAGATCTGAGAATTCAAACCTGAGACAGTAGAAACTTTAAACTCAGCTTGTCTCTCTGGCCCCTCGCCTGCACCTCTCTGGTCTCAGCCTCTGTGAAGAGTCAAGTGAGCTTCCCAGGGACAGATGGTGGAGAAGAGTAAGCTCCAATGACAATATCTGAGAGAGCTGGTGTGACCCTGTAAGGCTAGCGGAGGAAGAAGGAAAGAGGAGATGACTGGGTACTGGGTTTTACCTCTAGAATAGTAAGAATATGAATGATCCATGTTTATGGAGTCGATGAGGAATGAGCGTGGAGTACCTGTGTACTTTGAAGGCACTTCAGTTTCCATTAGGACCCGTCTCTTCCAGGTGTTCTGTTTCCTTTTCTCACTCTTTGGGATCTAGAGCTTCTCTCTATGACAGGATTTTTTTTTTAAAGAACCTCCAATTGTTCACTAGTATTATAGGTTCTTCTAAGATTTCCTCCATCCAATTATTTATTGTTAACAACTCACTGAAGATCTTTTTATGGATGAGGTATGACTTATTTTGTTTCAAAGTTGAATGTATTTTACCATTATATTTCCTCACTATTTTTTACTGGCCTAATTGATAGCTCTTATTAGTTCTCTGTTGTTCTAGTTATCATTTCACTTCAAGGTCCACACTATATACACTGCTAGTTTAATTGTTTCTGATGCTCAACACTTAGTACAATTTCCTTTTCTCATATTACCAACCCAGTATGTTTTGGAAAATATTTAAAGCTGAGGTTGGTGGTGACTGCCTTGGCAGGTTCATGAATTTCGCACAAATACTGTAGTGTTTTAATGTAAGTACATTGTGTTGAATGTAGAGTAGACTCTCCTGTCTGCCTTCGCAGACAAAATTTGTCCTCAATCATTTTTTTTCCAGTCTTTATATTTATTCCTTGGGCATTCACAAAGCTGACCCTTTTTGTCATGGAGAATAGAAATATTCACTTTTTAAATCTTAAATTTGCTCTTTATTTTCTAGAATGAATGATTTTATATCATATTTGATTTTGTAGTCAAATCTATTAGATATATTTTGGTTATTAACTATGATGGATTTTAATATAATATGCCCCATCCAAGAGCCCCACACAGAAGCACACACTATTACAAGTACCTTATATTTGATTTTAAAAGTGATGTGGGCTACATGATTCTTCTTCTTCTTCTTGGAAGAGTTTACTCAGCAGGCATTCTCTGAACGAAGGAACCATGGGAGTCTTCATTAATTAGAAATGCAGATGGTAGTCAAAGAAGCACCCAAAATGCTCTTGTATAAGGAACAGAATTCATCCATGATGGTGAATTCAGTTTCAGAGGGAGAATGCCAAATGATAGCAAGGAATCCTGTTGTACTGATATGTGAAGAAGAAAAGCTCCTGTGTAGTAAATGACCATCAGGTGCCACAGGAATCACAAGTAGAAATATTACATACCACGGAGTGAACACTGACTACCTCAGCTGTAGAGGTGAGGTAAAGGTAGGTAAAGAGTTTGTGTGCCTTGCTCCACATCACAGCGATGGAATGCTGGTGGAGCAAAACTCTACTCCAGGAATTCTGACTCCAGAATACCATTTTAAAGCCACAGTTATATCATGTATATCGGAATACTCACACACATAAAACATCATAAAGGAGGAGTTTTAAATTAACATTAACATAATAATTACAGCATCTATTTACAGCAAGCATTACTGAGACTCCTACTGAGCACAAAAGAACTTGTAATCCTCATAAATAGGTCATAGAAATAACTACATATGTAGAAATAAAAGAAGGGAGAGAACTACCACATCACTATCAAGTCTCATGTCATAGCATAAAGTCTAGATAGAGTAAAAATCCGTGATTAATCATGATTATAGAGATATAGCATGAAGAATTATGAACATTTCCAAGAAAAGGATGAGAAATTTCTATAATTCTTATGGAAGGATTTCATTGAGGAGGCATAAACTCATGTGCATAAATTTTTAAAAATGAGAATTAAAACTTGCAAGTAGATGAGAAGAGACACTTTTGCTAATTTAAAGAAAGTCTGATCATACCTCTAAAAGAGAAATGGACTGTCACTTGGGTGAGTAAGTCACTCTCCTTGGCAGACTCACAGGGAATGAAGGACACCCCCAAGGGTGATACGTGAGGTGAGGACTAGCTGAGCTTCTAGCTGAGTGATCATTGAATATTGCTTTTACCTCCTTCTGCAGAAATTACACCCACTGCATGGAAGAAGTGAACCATACATGTGTATCACAGTTCCTCCTCCTGGGCCTCTCAGATGATCCTGATCTGCAGCCCATTCTCTTTGGACTGTTCCTGTCCATGTACCTGGTCACAGTGCTTGGAAACCTGCTCATCATCCTGGCCATCAGCTCTGACCCCCACCTCCACACCCCCATGTACTTCTTCCTCTCCAACCTGTCCTTTGTTGACATCTGTTTCATCTCCACCACGGTCCCAAAGATGCTGGTGAACGTCCAGGTACAGAGAAAAGACATCTCCTACATAGAGTGCTTCATTCAAGTGTATTTTTTGATTATTTTTATTGGAATGGATAATTTCCTCTTATCTGTGATGGCCTTTGACCGCTTTATGGCCATCTGCCACCCTCTGAATTACATAGTCATCATGAACCCCCGGCTCTGTGTCCTCCTGGTTCTGTTGTGTTGGCTCATCATGTTCTGGGTCTCCCTCATTCATATTCTACTGGTGAAGCGACTGACCTTCTCCGTAGGCACTGAAATCCCACATTTCTTCTGTGAGCTGACTCAGCTTCTCGATGTAGCCAGCTCTGATACTCATGTCAATTACGTTGTTATACATGTGTTGTCTGCCTTGCTGGGTGTGATTCCTATGACTGGGATCCTCTACTCTTACTCTCAGATTATCTCCTCCTTATTGAAGATGTCCTCCATTGTGAACAAATACAAAGCATTTTCCACCTGTGGGTCTCACCTGTGTGTGGTCTCCTTGTTCTATGGAACAGCATTTGGGGTTTATCTCAGTTCTGCCGTGACCCATGCTTCCCAGAGACGTTTGATCACCTCAGTGATGTATAGTGTGATCACCCCCATGCTGAACCCCTTCATCTACAGCCTGAGGAACAAGGATGTGAAAGGGACTCTGGGGAGACTCCTCAGCAGAGCATCCTCTGGTCTTTGAGACCTCAGAAATAAAGGGACTTTCTTATGCTGAAACACAAAAGTTTTTAAATATCATTGTTCATGTGTGAGTGCAGTCACATGTTGTATTCTTGATGATTTGTGTAAGGGATAGACTGTCTATGATTGTGGTCACAACATTGGATTGCCTAGTGATGTCACAGCCGTGGTAGTTAACATGGAGCACTCTATGGTGTTTGCACAATGACAGGATTGCCTTGTGATTCATTACTAAGAAACTATTCTCATTGTTATGCAGTGCATGACGTAGTTATTAGTTGTCATTAGTTAAGTAATATAGATAGGAGTAGGACAGCTGGATCATATGTTAATTGTATGTGTAACTTTTTGAGGAATCACTAAACTCTTCATTGTAATTGGCAAATTTTGCATTCTAAAGTGTGAAGTTTTTGTTATCTTGACATCCTTGCGATTTTCAATTTTATAAAAAGTACAGCATTCTCTAGGTTGTGAAGTATTCATTTTGCTTCTGAGTGCATTTTCCTGAGTCATTGAGAACCTTTTGGAGTGCTTGTTGTCTTAGGAAGTTTGCTCATTTAGAAATTGTACACATGGTACTTTTCTTGTGCTAAAAATTGATTGCTTTGGCTACTTGACACTTCTTACATATGTGTTTGCAAATAATTTTCAAGCTGTATGTTATTCTTTCTTTTTTCTCAAGTATGCAGTTCATTGTGATTGATTAATTATACTCATTGTGATGCACAAGTGATCTCTTGGCATTCTTCATTCTGACTGGAATTTTGTGCCCTTGACCAACATGTACCTAACCTTCAACCCCTCACCTCTGATAGTCACTGTTCTACTCTGTCTACAAATTCTACTTCTTCAGACTTACATGTAAGTGAGCAAGTTAGCTCATTGGTCATTGGTATTTTTCATCATAAGCCTGGTTTATTCCACTTGACATAATGTCACAGAGGTTCATCCATGTAGCAGCAAATGCTAAGATTTCTTTCTTTCTTTCTTTCTTTCTTTCTTTCTTTCTTTCTTTCCTTCCTTCCTTCCTTCCTTCCTTCCTTCCTTCCTTCCTTCCTTTCCTGGGGATTGAATGCAGAGGCACTTAATCATGGAACCACATCCCCAGCCTTTTCTTTTCATTTTATTTTAAAACAGGGTCTGGATAAGTTATTGAGGTGGCCTTGAACCTGGGATCCTCCTGCCTCAGACACCCAAGGCACTGCAATTACAGGGGTGTGCCACCATGTCTGGCTAGGATCACCTGTTTCTTAGCATGACTACTGTTCCCTTTTGTGTATATAATGAGCCACATTTTCAATCTATTCATCTGATAGTAAACACTTGACTGTTGTGAATAATGCTGCCATGATAATGGGAATATACATTTATTTTGACATACTGATTTCGTGTCCTCTGGATAAACATGCAGTAATGGTATTGCTGGATATGATAGTAGTACTATTTTAATTTTTCTAAATCCCTGCACACTTTCTTCCATAATTACTATACTGATTTACATTTCAGACAACAGAATTTAATGGTCCCTTTTATCAATATCCTCGCCAAAAACAGTACCTTCTGTGCTTTTGATAATAGTCATTTTAATACATGTGAGGTGGTGTTTCCTAGAAGATTTATATGTGTTATGCTAATGATCAGTGATGCTGAGCATTTTTTATTTTTTTCAGTACCATGGATCGAACCTATGGGTCCTTAAACACTAAGATACATCCCCAGCCCTGTTTTTATATTATTTTATTTTTGAGGCAGGGTCTCACTAAGTGGCATAGGGCCTTGCTAATTTGCTGAGGCTGGCTTTGAAACACCTGCCTCAGCCTCTAGAGTTGTTGGGATTACAAGCATGTACCACCTTGCCCCACTACAATGGAAAATATTTCTAGCTATCATATTGCACATAATAAATATTTACAATATTACCTGTCAGTTTAGATAATTAAATAAATAGGCAAACACATGAAAATGAAAAATAGGTAAGCACCTGAATATAAAAATAAAAGAGGAAAAATACAAAAGAAAGAAGTTCATTTGTCTATAACATCATAAATTTGAAATAATTTCTAAAATCTCCAAAGATCATTCAAAGAAGGCACATCAGAGAATATGGCTCCTGAAACCTGTTCTTTACAGGAATGAACTGTTCCTTATGACTGTGAAATCAAACCAAGAAAAAAGTTTTTCTTAGAAGATATACACCCATTTTCCCCTGCCACTTTCTCCAGAAATGCAAAGCTGATGAAAAATTTCCACTGTTCTTTCTCCTTTGTATCTCAGGGGAGTTGACTAGTTTGGAGAGTGAAAAGACACAAGAACAATTTGCTAAATGATGAGCTTTGAGGATTCATGCCTTGAGACTAGAAACTTTTAAACATGCCTCTCTGGCCCCTCGCTGCTGTACTGCGTAATCTTGGCATCCATGAATAAGTAAGAGGGCTTTCTGGGAACAGATTGTGGAGAAGATAAAGCTTCAGTGGCAGCCACTGGAGACAGTAAGTGTGTCCCAGTGAGGTGGATGGAGGAAGAAGGAAAAGGGGAGAGAATGTGGGACTGGGCTTTCCCTTCGACACTGAGAACAGGAACGCTCCATATTTCTTTGGGTTGAGAAGGTGAAGTCCCTGATCTGTGAATGCACTTTTGTTTCCATTGAGACCTCTTCCTATCCTCTGTTTATCCTCTCACTCTGGAATATAGAACCTTTCTCCGGAAAGAGTGATATCGTGGAAAGTCTAATTCTTTTACAATCTTTCTGACGAATTGTACGCTACTGCCAGATTTTCTGCATCCAATTACTTATTTATTAACTATTCATTCTGTCTCTCTCTCTCTCTCTCCATATATATATATATATATATATATATATATATATAAATATTTCAAGGCATGAATCCTCAAAGCTCATCATTTAGCAAATTGTTCTCCACTGTGGGCCTCATACACACACACATACACACACACACACATCTATGTGGGGGGGGGGAGAGAGAGAGAGAGAGAGAGAGAGAGAAAGAGAGAGAGAGAGAGACAGGGATTGCAACTGAGGTGCTTAATTACTGAGCCATATTTCCAGCTCTTTTTAAATTTTAAAAAATTTTCAGGCATGGTCCCACTAAGTTGCTAAGCACCTTGTTATGTTGTTTACGCTTGCTTGGAACTTGTGATTCTTCTGCCTCATACTCCAGGGTCACTGGGATCATAGGCATGTGCCTTCATGTTCAGTTCTCTGAAGACCTATTATGCACAAAGTATTGTTTATTTTGTTTCACACTTGATTGAATTTTCTGTTGTTTTCTCCCATCTTACCTTGCTGTGTTACTAATCAGTAGCTACTATTAATTCAATTTTTTTTGTCATTATTGTTTAACTTTAGGGTCCATAGTCTATCTACTTTTAATGTGATTATTTCTGATGTTTAACATTCAGTCCAATTCCCTCTTCTCATTTTACCAACCCTTTGAAAAGTGCAAATGGTTGAATGTGAAATATATTGCCTTGGAATGTTCATAAATTTAGCACAAACATTGTAATGTTTTATATGGCTTGAAAACAGTCACTCTATATCATCGATCACAGCCTTGCTTGTTACACACAGTAAGGCTTATAAATATTTTCAAGTACATTACAGAAGCTGAGGTTTTTGTTATGATATTGCTTCACTGATCTAGTTTTTGATGAAGTTTTTAAACACAATTAATCTGGCTTTCATCCCCAGAATTGAATTTGCTTGCTAGTACTGCATTATTCCTTTAAAATAATCATGAATGCTTGTTATTTAATTTAATTTTTAAATTCTGTGCCAATATTCAAGCATATGACCAGTTGGAAGATTTCCTAGCTGTTATACTAGATGTAGCATCATATTTATTATACATCCAACATTGAATTTCTTTCAAGGTGACACACACCATGGAAACCTCACAAAAGGCAAACAAGAAGAAAACTCTTTGTAACCTTAGACTCACAAATATTCTTGTATTTACCAGTATCATTGAGACATAACAGAAGGTGACAGAGGCTCCACTGTGGGCCTCACACGTTCTAATCCATGGACCTCCACCCCTGCTCTCTGTCACACTGCCCTTTCAAATCTCTTCTATACCAAGCTCCACTGTCTGATAGGGCCACTGCATATTCCTGCTCACTGAGCCTAGAATGCTTCTTCCTTCATTACAGGTGAACAATGACCCAACCTTCCTTTCTCAGATCCAACATTTCTGTTTCAGAATAGTCTCCTATCAAACTTTACAGACTAAATTGTTTCTCAGGGATTTTTTTCTTATTTGCTATTTTTGTGTATTCCCTAGGAATCATACTTACTGACAATGTAACATAAATATTTAAAAATAAACATCTATTTTTACTTTTTATTTTTATTTTTTATTATCAGCGATTGAACTCTGGGGTACTTGAACACTGAGGCACTCCCCAGCCCTGTTTTGTATTTTATTTGGAGACAGGGTCTTACTAGTTGCTTAAGGCTTCACATTTGCTGAGGTTGGCTTTAAACTCAAAATCCTTCTGCCTCAGCCTCCCGAGCTACTGGGATTACAGGTGTGCACCACTGCACCCAGCTTACTTTTTAATGTTTAACTCATGAATTCCCCTTTAAGGAATGAATCGATTCATGATTTGAATATTTTATTCACATCTATCAATTGTGTATTTTGGCCATTGACTGCTGATTTTAATATCAGACGGCCCCACTGAAGTGTATGGCTATAGGAGCACATGCAGTCAGAAGGCCTTCTACTTGTCCCTAATGGTGGTCTGATATTTCCCCTTTTCTGTGTGTGATCCACATACTTTTTGCTTTTGGAAGTACTCCCTCAGCAGGAATTCTCTGAATGAAGGAACTGTAGAGATCTTCATTAATTAGAAGTGTTGTATGGCAGACAAGGGGGTAAACAAACTCTTCTATTAAACATGATCAGGATTCCATTTATGATGGTTAACAGAGTTTAAATGGCATATGTGCTAAGTTATTCCCATGCAAGATAGATTTACCGATATGTTA